TGAAACTGGAGAACAGTAGGTAAAATAAGAAAAACAAATACTGCATGTTCCTTCTTCCACGTGGAAGCTAAAAATGCCCATCTGAAAGTAGAAAAATGGCTGTTGGCGGGCTTCTGAGCTATAGGGTCTCAGCCTGCTGTGAAGGAAGAAGCAGAGGAGGGCCAATGAATGAAGGTATCCTTGCCTCCCTATGGAACACTCAGTGATTCTCTTTACCTTTGGCCATACCATCATTTATTATATTTTACTCATTTTTATGGTTTATTTGCTGATATTACTTGGTGGTCAAGATTTCAGTTTACTAGAGTCTACTATTTTATAACACTATTCAAGCCACTTCCACACAACTTATGGTGATGTATGCCTACAATCCCACCATTCTGGGAGGGTGAGACAGGAGGAACCTGTCTCAAATAAAAAAATACTTAAAAGGCCTGGGGATGTAGCTCAGTGTGAAGGTCCTGTGTTTCATCCCCAATAGCAATAAATAATCTATATGCATCAAATACTGTATTTAAGTTTCTATTGTATTTATACTTTCTTTTTGAGGCAAGATCTTGCTATATAGTTCAGGCTGGCCTTGAACTCATGGCAATCCTCCTCCCTCAGTCTCCTGAGTTGTGGGATTACAGGCGTGCACCACCATGCCCGGCTTACACATTTAATTTTGATAATTTCAAAAGGGGATGTCATCCATAGAATTTAGTATTTTTTATACTCATAACAGAGTTATAAATTTGTTAGCATTGTGGCTGATCTACTTGGCCACAGCGTTCTAAGAAAAGTCACAAATATACTTGCTCACCAGAACTGCTGAAAACAGATTTTTAACTGAGCAATGAATCACTTACACCACAGCCAAGTTAGAGCGGTGTCATCTCTAGCTAAAAGATACAGTTCTATCTTTCTGAACAGATTTTCACTGTTTTTCAAGCCCAAATTAATAGGAAATTGCCTGAGGGTCTAGTTTGTACTCTGTCTTAAAGTGATGTTTGCTACAGGACTTTTCTAAATGGATTTCAGCAAAAGATAAAATTAGTTGATTTGCTAAGCCGGACATGGTGGTGCATGTCTGTAATCACAGAATCTGGAGGCTGAGGCAGAAGAATCTTGAGTTTGAAGCCATCCTGGACTATGTAGTGAGTTCAAGGCCAGCCTAAACCATGTAGCAAGACCCAGTCTCAAAAAACAAAACCAAACCAAAAAAACTAGTTCATCTGCTCAACATGGTAAAGTGAGCCCCAAGTCAACCAGCTACAGGTCTCCTTATTCCAACCTGGTGGGACAACGGCGGTGAGGTCATCACATGGATTTTAAACATGACTTTCAATCCTCCCTTAAGTGGAGGAGGTCATTTGGCATGATTTATGTGGCTTAAACTGCTGTTGCTTAGTTTTTCCTGTATTTTAACAATTAAATTATGTAGTAAATTACAGTCATCAGCTTGAAAAATGTTTTGACTGAACACGGAAAAACTTCCTGTGATTAAAGCCTCCACATAGCAAGGAGTAAGTCAAGATTAGTCAAGGAATGTTGGCAAAGCGCTGACCTTTTAACTGTTTAAAGTGGAGATGGTGTCACTGGGTGCAACATGCCCTGCCTTAACTACTGCACACACCACACCCCATGGGAGGAGTTCACAGTGACGTCCCTCAGGATCTTGCACCAGACTGTCTCAAGCTGCTACGTCTTTAGTGTTCACTTTGAATTTATTTTTAGTTGTCTTCCCTATGGCTGTCACATTTTATTATTTACCCATCTCTAGCCAAATCCTTTCCACACCTGTTGATTTGTTCAGGAGCAGAAATCAGATAACTGAACTTGTTAGAATTGGGTGTGAAGTAAAAATATGCAGACTGCCCAGCACTTGGGAAGCTGAGGCAGGACAATTGCCACAAATCGCAGGCTTGGGCTATATAGTGAGTTCAAGGCCAGCCTGAACTACATAGCGAGACTGTGTCTCAAAAAAAAACCAAAAAAAAAAAAAAACAAATAAAAAGCAGGCTCTGAAGATGGGGAGCTGAGGCACTGGCTTTCAAAAGTAGGAACATTAGGAATTGGGGTTTCTAGAGTGTGGTGCTGCTCCAAATGCACTGGAAAAGAATGCAGTGCAGTCACTCGTGTGTCTACTACTACGATCAAACAACATACCCAGCTGGGTGTTGTCACTCATACCTGTAACATCAGATACCTGGAAGGCTGAGGCAGGAGGATCCCAAGTCCAAGGCCAGCCTGGACAACTTAGTGAGACCCTGTCTCAAATCGTTTTAAAAATCCTGGGGCTACAGATGAGTGTAGAGCGCTCGCTTACCTGGCAGGCTTAAGTCCCTGGGTTTGGTCCCCAGTACCACAAAATAAAATTTCTACCATGATCTCTTAAGAACCTTGTTAAGCTCATGGGCGACTGCAGGATCGCATGGGGAAGGGAAGGGCCACAGAGCACCAGCTGTCTTAACTGGCTTCCCGTAAACTTACTAACAAATTAGGCTACAAAATACAAAAGCCCTACCTTGACTCACAGGAGGCGCTGAACCCAGAGCTGAATCACAAGTGCTCAGCACATGCACCGCACATCACTTCATGGTGCACGCGGAGGCTCCCGGCACCTCAAGCCCACGCACACCGGGAGGCTGACCCCCGGGAGCAGAAGAGGCAGCCCCAGGACCGCGTTCCCGTGGGGCCTGGGGGAGCTGCGCCCTTCGTGTCCGCCGGCGCTCTGGGCTGCCTCGTCTTCTCTCTGCGGTCTGAGTGACAGAATCCCAGGCGGCACAGGTCCCAGGCTTATTAAAGCCGCTGAGGGAGGGCAGCTTCTGGTGGCCCCAGGCTCCGGGAGAATCTGCACATGAAGGAAACTATGCGCCACAGCTTTTCCGTACTTTAGCAATAGAAATGTGAGGCAGAAACCTCTTGCCTTCGGTCAGGTCATTTTGCTTTTGAGAGATCTTGCTAAATCGCTAAGTTGCCCAAACTAGGCTCAAACTTGCTATCTGCCTGCCTCAGCCTCCAAGGGCTGGGATTACAGGCAGGCACTACCAGGCCTCCTTTGGTTTGTTGCATGACTGGAGACTGAAGCCAGGCCCTTCACACAGAGCCACATCCTCACACCTCTGTTTACTTTTTATTTCTGACACGGTCTCACTAAATCACTAGAGTGCCCAGGCTGGACTTGAACTTGGAGTCCTCCAGCCTCCGTCTCCCAAAGTGCTGGGATTACAAGTGGGTGTCACCACCCCAGCTCCATTTTCTTTTCTGTATATTAAAATTAACCTTTTATGAGGAATTCATTTTCAATTTCTAAGTATTCTTATTTGACAAAATTAAAAGGTGACTGTTTCACTTTAGAGTACACATTTTTAGTAAGTTTACCTCCTGTGAAATCTAATTATGGAACATGTTTTGGTTTTGATTTTTTTTTAAAGACAGGGCCTCACTATGCAGCCCAGGGTGGCTTCAAACTTGTGATCCTCCTGCCTCTGCCTCCTGAGCACTGGGATTATAGGCCTGCACCACCACACACTGCTAGAATGTTTAAAAATATACTGCTGTGAGTTGTGAATGATTTTACAAAACAGAAAAGCTTTATAACCACAGACAAGCATATCCCAACTTGTGGTGAGGACTTTCCTCAGAGTCCGGCAACCACCTGTGGAAAAATAACCCATTACTACAATACTCGAGCCTTAAAGATGTTGAATAAAAGGTCTCTGAAAAAATACTCAGAGCCAAAGACGTGACAGCAATGTTATGTCACTTCTCCCACTGACGGGTGGGAGAAGAAAGAGCAACAACTCGACAAAAATCCTTGTAAACCTCAAAAACCACAGACTGCATTTGTAACTCGAAAATCCTTGCTGTTGGTCACAAGAAAGGTAAGGTCAACAGCAGAGCCCGCTGCCATGACACGGATTAAGTTCCAAGTTTTAGCACCGAGTGTAGTCTCACACATGGCTACCATCACTTCTTACTGGGTGAAGGATTAAATGCCCAAAGGGAACAGATTTACCTTTAATAGACTTAAGGGGAGCTAGTAATATGAGAATCGCAACTTAAAGTCTCTTAATTGTGGGCTAAAATTACAAACATTTTTTTTTTGGTACCAGGGATCAAAACTCAGGACCTTGCGCTTGCGAGGCAGGTGGCAGAACCACTGAGCTAAATCCCAGGCCCTAAAATTACAAACATTTTTAACTCTCCAGTAAATTTATTTTGAAAACTTTTTTGTACTTAAACTACTAAAGTGTTTATATAAACACAATTTGGTTTTAATAAGAACTCAGGTGTGTTTTATTTTTAATTCCATTTCAAACTACAGAAGCCCATGACTTTAGCTACAAGTGTTCCTGCCACCCCACCCCAGTGTCAAGAGTCACACACATGCACACCTTTTGTAAGCAGACCTTTTATAATTTTAAATAACTATTCCTCATTAGAACTTATGTCCAGTTTACTTCTGAAAGTGTGGTATTCATATTCATGAGGAAAAATCTCTATAAACCAAAATTGCTATCTGTGACCTCAAGTAATTCTTGATGTCAACATTTTTCTTAGTTCCCCTAAAAAGAGGACTGGAGATGGAGTTCACTGGTAGATCACTTGCCTAGCACTTGGTAGGCCCTGAGTCTGAGCTCCAGTACCATTCCTCCCCCCAAAAAAGGCACATGGAAGGTCAAAGGGAGCAAGCCACACAAGTGATCAAACAAGAGCTGTACAAAAAACAGCAATGTAGGGGACATTTTTAAAGTACAGATTCTGCTGAAATACTAATATCCAAACAGTTCTGGATCCATTGCCAAAATTCAGGTTTCTCAGTCAGTTAAAATGAGAGAGGCCCAGGGATGTAGCTCAGCAGCATAGCACCTGCCTGGTCTCGAGGTCTTGAGTTCAATCCCCAGTATCAAAAAAAAAAAAAAGGGCCAGGGATTTAGCTCAGTGGTTTTGCCGCCTGCTGCGCAAATGCAAGGACCCGAGTTCGATCCCCAGTACCAAAAAAAAAAAAAAGAGAGAGAGGAACTGATTTTATTGCTGGAAGATACATTAATTCTCTGAAGACAGACTGAGGCTTGACAATTTAATTTCTACACAAATGTTTGAATATACAAAATATCAAATATAAACAGTAGTGTAGCAAGAAAATAAACTGGCAGAAATAATTATTCACCTGATAATAATTAAGACCACCATTTCAAAGATTTTCTATACACAATGAGAAAATACTGAAAGATTTTACAACACACACTGAATCGATCCTACGTCATTACTGTTATACTTCTTTCTTCTTCAGGATGAGTGGACCCACATTATCTCCGGTCAGCTCATTATGTTTATTATGAGAGCCATCACAGGCCGGAAACTAAAAAGAAAAAAAGAATTACAAACCTTATTTTGAAAAATATGATTAAGTAGAAATACTTCTTAAATGTTGTCACAAAGCACATTACTTGGTTAAAAAGATTAAGTAATAGATTTATTTTATATCTAAACTGACCACATCCTGATACCAGAGCAAATTTAACAATGTAAACTGTTAATTCACTATCAGGAGTAGATTTTAAATAAAAACCTTGGGCTGACTCCATGAGTAACTACATACTTTTAAAAAGTGGCACTGTGCCTGCCAGGCACATGCAAGGTCCTGAGTTCAATTCCCAATACCGAAATAAATAAATAAATAAGAATCAAAATAAGCTCTTGGTCTCTATGGAGCTCTAAATTTGAAGGTACCTCTTAATTCATTTTAAAAGAGTAGAATATAAATTCAAAATCAATTATAATGTTTTCTTACTGTAAAACTCATAGTTTTTTGAAAAATTTTAAAAGATGAATTCTGACAACTTTACTCATAACCCATCCAGATATAGGTGTAAATGACATCTGACATACGTCTGGCTCTGCATCTGCTGTCTGCTCTCTTGGAGGGGGGATGCAGTCAGCTGGGCTGGCCCTCAGCTAACTCACTGTGGGCCTCAGCCTCCAAGTGCTGTGACCTCAGGCCTACACCACCACACCCAGCTGCACTCACTTTTTTGTTGTTGTTGTTCCAGGGATTGAACTCGGGTCCTTGCGCTTGTGCAGCAGGCAGCGGAACCACTGAGCTAAATCCCTGGCCCTCCCCCACTCACTTTTACTTTTTCAAATAAACTTTGCCACTGTTAACAATAAAATAAAATAAAATCATCCGTATGAGAGCCACTAGTCACAAGCTCATACTGTGTAAAGCATTTTTCATGTCATTTCACCAAGTCCTCAAAAATATCTGCAATACTGACATGTGGCAGCAATCACAGAAAGCAAAGTGAGCTCAGGAATATGAACTCCTGGTACTGAACACTGTGGAAAACTATCTCAGAAAACCCCAAACCTGGGGATCTGAGAAGCAAAACTGCTCTCACGCCACCTGACTGTGTGCACCAGGAATGACACCTTCTCTTACCGTCTTTGAGCGCCAACACCGACAGTAGGCGGCTTTGGTAAGACACAAGTCTTCGATGTTGATTTCATTCACCACCTTGGGGTTTTCCTTCTGGATCTTAAGGTTTATCAAGCTGTCCTTCTGTTGTTTCTTCTTTGGGAAGAACGGGCGGACCGCGAGGTAGCCGAGAAGAGCGAGCACACCCAGGAAAGGCAGCAGCCGGAGCCATTCTGCAACTGAACGTGCACAGTCAGAGCTGCAGTCAGAGCTGCTTCCCAGGCTGGGCCGCACCCAGCTGCTCCAGATCCAATCTGGTACTTCTCAGGTCTGGTTCTGACTTACCTGTGAAACTGTGACTGAACTTCACAACAGACCCTGCTCTACCTAGGGCCACCTTATTTACCAGCCAACTTTCAGAAAGAAATCCCATTTCAAATACTGTATCTCACTGAGCCCGTAAGTCCATCTGTATATGAAGGCTGCATCTAGGTGTCCCCCACAGCCTCATGCGGATCATGGGTGGGGCTGGATCTAGGGCATGTGACCCTAGGACTAAGGGTACTGATTTCTAAACTAGTCCCTGACTGGCCTGGCATAGTTCTGGGTGTGGATAATGGGAAGGCCCACCTGGATGTGGGTGGCCTGGAAGGGATAAGAGAGAGAGACAGGCGGCAGCTGCTGCTGCTCGGCCACATCTCTGCTTTGCTGTCTTCTGCCTGCTCTGGACTGTTTCTTCTGCCACCTTGCCTTGGAGCAGCCAACTATGCACTGAAACCTCTACAAACTGTGAGCCAAAATAAACCTGTCCTCCTTTACCTTGTGGGAGTTGGGTATTTTATCTCAGCAACAAGTAAGACACTGTGTATCTCTACTTTTATCAGCAATTGCAGCCACCACAAACAATTCAATTGTGATACATTTTATATGTTTAGACATTTTCACTTTTTTTTCTTTGGGCCATACTGGAGATTAAACCAGGGCCTTCACATTGAGCTACATCCATAGCCTTGGTTTTTTGTTGTTGTTGTTGTTTTCTTTTTTTCTCATTTGAGACAGGGTCTCAATAAGCTGCCCTGGCTGGGCTTGAACTTGTGACCCTTCTGCCTCAGCTTCCAGAGTAGTAAGAGTATAGGTATGTGCCATCATCCTGGCCAGCTGCAACTTTTCTCCTTAATAACACATCTAAAATCATACCGAAGAATATCCATGACATTTTTTACAACTGATTTAGAATTTCTTTTGGGGGAAGCAGGGGTTGAGACAGGATCTCACTATGTAGCCCAGGCTGGCCTCAAACTCATAGCAATCCTCCTGCCTCAGCTTCAGTTTACTTTTTAGTAAATGTTCCTAAATAACAAAATGTATTAAAGCTATTTTAATGAACTGAAACTTTTATATACTGAAGATGTTCTCTTTGTAGAATAAACCTCGTTCCATAAACATTCATTAATGCCTTTAGGAGTCCCCAGCCTGTCCCATGAAGACGGCACATAAATGGTTTGTGGAACGATGCACTCTGCCTGTGGACACAGTGGTGGCGAACCCATGGCACCTGTGCCACAGCGGTCACACAGAGCCCTCTCCGCCATGATGTCACAGTTGTGTGAGTTGTTTTTTCTGAGCTAAAACCTCAGTAATCAGGTTTAATTGCAGTGCGTAATTATTTACTTTGTGGTAAATAAGTAGGTTTGGGGTTGCAGTTTAGGCACCTGGTCTCTAAAAGGTTCGCCATCACTGCTTAAGAAAAACACATCCCCACATGCGTATCAAGTCTCTGTGAGGATCCTTTGTTTAAAATCAAAAGTACTAGCACATATTAATTGTACAAAAGTCCTGTTGACCTTTCTTCACTGAGTGCCCATCAGCACCTTGCTAGGTGCTATGCAGAAATAGCCAAGGTAAGAAAAAACAGGAAATTATGCACCAAGGTGTGGCTAATAAATATGGCTGAGGATGTGGGTCAGCAGTACAGCGTTTGTCTAGGCTTCAATTCCAGCACAAAAACAAAACCAAACAAAAATAAACCCACAAAGTAGAGAAGTATCATATAAGAAAAAAAATGTTAATGTTAACAATAAATGAACAGCCGGGCATGGTGGCACATGCCTGTAATCCCAGCACTTGGGAGGCTGAGGCAGGAGGATCACTGAGAGCTACATAGTGAGTTCAGGGCCACCCTGAACTACAGAGGGAGACCCTGCCTCAAAAAAGCCGAAAAACCAATAAATGAACAGACTATGCTATGAGAACAACTCTGTTAAGTCTTTTAATACTCTATTAGGTTAAACTGTTCTACTGTAACATTATTGTTTTCATTTTACAGGTGGATAAACTGCAGCTGAAGCATAATGTAAATAACCATGAACCAGTGTGGTGGCACATACTTGTAATCCCAGCACCTGGAAGGCTGATGCAGGAGAATTTTGAGTTCCAGGCCAGCCTGGACCATGTATTGAGTCCCTGTCTAAAAAAAATTTTTTTTTAATCCAACAGATCTAAAATTAAACCTGTTCCTCTCTCGGTAAAACCCTCAAAACATAATGATTCTTCTACTTAACTACTCAAAGAAACACTGGCTTAAGTCTGACTCTTCCAAAATAGATGATTTCTGACACCACCAATGCCAAACAGACCTACGTATACACATGGCCGTCAGAATGCCCAGCACATGGTGGCATGGGCTGAGGTGATGGAGCTGGAGGAAGCACGACCAGTCCTCTGCAAGGGTATTTTCCAGACCAACCTGACACTGCTGCATGATAGAAATCTTTGGAGATGTAAGCCTTTAGTCAGTGGAATGAAGCTCTGTAGGGGACAGGACTTTGCCCTCTGCATCCGTTACGTCCTTATAAATAAGTGGAGTCTCCAGAAAGATTCTCTGAATGAACTGACACGTTTCCACAGGCTTACTTACACCCGCTGTGGTACATTCATGGCTATCCCATCCGGCGGCCTGTACCACTCAGCAGGACATACAAATGCCCCATGATGGACAGTCATGCATGTCAGTGAGACAAATTCTGGCCCTGCCGTGATGTGTTAAAAAAGTTCCTAGCCGGGGATTTAAGCTCAGTGGTTCCAGCGCCTGCCTCACAAGTGCAAGGTCCTGAGTTCGATACCCGGTACCAAAAAAAAAACAATTCCTTACAGGAAACGAGCTGCTGTCAACATGACCAAGCCGCTAGCCACTGCCTGGATATGTCCCTAGGACTTTCTTTTCATCACACACAGCAGGACAAAAGCCTGAAAAACACTGCCTGGGAAGAAGAACGTATTGCTTGGTGGAGGCAGCGGCGACATGGGGAAGCACCAGGATTGGCCAAGATAAAGGCGAGACCACAGGCACACAGCCTTTCCATGGCTTCTGTGGAAAAGCGAGGCAGGGTGGGTGGCTGTCTCCAGCGGCCAAGGGAATCATCTGAAAGCGGGCAATGGGAGCCCAGGGCCCCACAGAATGGTACCTCTCTGACGAGAGTCCAGGGGACACTGGCCTGGTGTGGAGGAGTCCAAGGAGGAGGCTCTGCAGGCTCAGGCCTCGGCTCATCTGCAAACGAGAGGCAAGCTCCCGCCAGCTATTTCCTATCTCCAAGAATTAAATTAGCTTGTCCTGGGAGGAGCCGTCTCCTCAGTCAGCCCACATTGTCAAAGCATCACAGAATGCAGAAAATGAAATACATGATTACTATTCACCGGTAAAGTAAAACTCTGGCTCACGCTGGCCACCTTTCCCAGGCTCAGCAGCCACCTGCAGTCAATGGCAACGCATCCAACAGCACAGAGGACATTCCCACGGCCACAAACTGAGGACAGCACAGCGCAGAGTGTGGGTTCCTGGAGGCTTCCTTCCCAGGCTCTGTCACCACATCTCTCCCCTCGGTCCCTGCGCCCGGCCACAGTCGCCGCCCACCAGCAGCCTCCCTCGGCTCCCTGCACACGGCGTCCCCCTCCACCTATGGGGCTTTCCCGCCTCTGGTTTGCCGCGTGTGTAAGCTCACAGCACAGGACTGGTGCCCCTGCAGTGCCGCCACCCGGCCCGCCTCTCTGCAGCCACACAGGACATGGCCACCTGTCCCGTCCCTCCCTTCTGTTCACACCACCTTCTAGATCAGGCAACCAAGGCACATATGCTGAAGCAGGGTCCTGGAATAACATTCAGTTAGGCCAGGGGAGGGAGGAGAGGGCAGGGGAGTAAAAAGAATTAAGATGTGTTAGGTATGCATTAATACTCCTCACGACCAATGTAATCGCCCTGTACTGCAAGCATATACTAATACAAGAATTTCAAAGGATTTAATATAAAATTATTCTATTTATTGCAATAATTAAAAACCCACAGGAGGGTAAATTGCCAAAAAGCATATGAGTAAGAACATAAGGGTGAAGACCTTAACTTTCAACTCTTCACAGAGTCTGCCTATCTTAATTTACTAAACTCAGGAAACAAATGGTATTAACAGAGTTTTTAAATCTACTTCAGAAAATGTTCTTTTAAACACTTGATTCCTTGGTAAAACACTGCTCTAAAACAATGTGAAAATGAGAGGTACTGTTACCACCTGCAACAAGGTAAGACTGCAGCCTATTTCCTGATGTGGTTTAAACCCACGGCTCCATAAAATGGAATTGGGCCCTAAAAAGGTCAATTCAAGTCATTTTAGGTGTATTTATGATGATTTTTAGTGAAAACTGTCAAATACAGAAGAATTAAATAAGAATTTTAAAACTTTTATTTGATGAATATTGGGCCATTAGCTACTTTGGAGGGAAAAATATTACCTACTAACTGTAAACAGTGTATAAAATAATGTAAAACAACATATATTTTATTCGGCATATGTTTATTTTTAATTATTTAAAAATGTAAATAAAATTTGAAAAACTTAGAAAAGTAAACCACAATCCTACTCGCAAGAATTGGTAACAATTTTGTACATTTCTAGTTTGTCTTTTTGGGGGAGTGTAAACATATATATTATAAATGCTTTTTAAAACTGAAACCAGGCCGGGGATTAGCTCAGAGGTTCCGCCTCCTGCCTTGCAAGTGCAAGGTCCAGAGTTCGATCCCTGGTACCAAAAAAAACACCAAACCTGAAACCACACTGTAAACAGTCTCCATCCCACTTTTTACATAATATACATCAGACTATCCTGTCATTCCCGATCCCATTAGTGACATCTGAAAACACCAGCTGCAGTGGCTGCCTCCTCGCCCGGGTCAAGGCACAGGCCCCGAAGGGCCAAGAGCAGGACCTCAGGCCGGTCTCCACTGTGCCTGCTCATGGTGCCCAGCCCCTCTCATTTGCCGCTTACTGAGGCACGCGTTATTCACGGTTCATCTGCTATGTGTTAAGTGTTCAGTTTGATGAGTTTTGAAATGACCTGTAAACACCACCTAAAACAAAACACAAGGCTTTGTTTGTTTTGGCAGAAGTGTGGATTGAACCCAAGACCTTTGCACTGAGCTACATACATCCCTGTTTTAATTATTTTGTTGTTGTTGTTGTTGTTTTGGTATGGGGATCAAACTCAGGACCTTTCACCTGCCAGGCAGGTGCGGTGCCACTGAGCTAAATCCCCAGCCTCCTGTTTTATTTTATTTTTTTGGTACCTGGGATTGAACTCAGGACCTTGCACTTTCGAGGCAGGTGGCAGAACCACTGAGCTAAATCCCCGGCCTCTGATTTATTTTTTAAGACAAGGTCTCTCTAGATCCCTAAGTCGCCTGGGCTGTGCTCCCCCACACATGGGAGGTCTCCTGCCTCAGCCTCCCAGAGTGCAGGGATTATGAGCATGCACTACTATAAACTCAGCAAAATGTAAGTTATTTTAAAAATAACTATCCATATATCTACATGAGTATGTCATTTCCGTCACCCCAGAAAGTGTTCTGATACAATTCTAGTCAAACCGCCATTGTGATTTTTATCACCAATCCCATTCCTACTATCAGAGGATGTCTCTCCGTCCTTCTACGTAACCTAGTGCTCGCCATCTGATACCCTGTGCAGTGTGGTGCAGCTGGGGCCTGGCTGTCTCTGTGCCTGGGGCTCAGCACAGGGTCTGTCCTGAGCAGGCCACCAGTAAACACCTAAGCTCCAGAATGGTATGAGGCCAAATTTTCATATGCCTGCATGGGGTCCAATTCCCCACTGCTTTGTCCAACAGTATCTACATTCCAGTGACACAGGCCAGCAGAGATAAGGTCCCTGCCCTAAAGGAAGAGGGGACAGACAATAAACAAGCAAACCAATAAACGAGGTCACCACAGGCTGTACTAAGAGCTGGAAAGAAAATAAATAGGATGATAGAAAAGAAGAAAAGACCAGCTGGGCTGGTGGCACTGCCTGTAATCCCAGCCCTGGGGAAGCTGAGGCAGGAGGACCGAGAATAAGGAGCCAACCTGAGCTATATAGCAAGACCCTGTCTCAAAAAATCAAAACACTGGGCCGGGGATTTAGCTCAGTGGTTCCGCCACCTGCCTCACAACCACAAGGTCCCAAGTTCGATCCCCGGTACAAAAAAATATATATATATCAAAACATAAACCAACTCAGGGGCAGGGCAGCCAAGCTGACAGCAACTTCAGGTAAGGGGCTGCCGGGAAAAGTTTCCTATAAAAAGGACCTTTAAGTCTAAACATGAGGAAAAGTCAAGGACTCAAAGCCAAAAGAACTTTGAAGACACAGAGAAGTGTGGAAAACAGCCAACTTCCTAGAAAGTGTGAGGAATAAATGAAATGGGACAGCACTCAGTGAAAACTACACCCTATTTTCCAGAGAGCCAGCACTCATTCCACCCTGACTACAGCTCTGTAAATGCCTACTCTCCCACCAAACAGAAGCTCCTGCTTCCAACAGACCTTCTCAAAACAAGATGGCCATGAATCTACTGGAATTGAGTTTGTGGCCATTAAGCTGAGATAATTCAGTAAGGTCTGAGCCTGTTTACCTTCAGCGCTTCTGACTGTCAATTAAAATCCAGGAAGACTGTTTAAAAATCTTTAATAGAAGAACTTTCAGTACCCTCTAAAACTATCAAACCTCAAACACGTCAGGTGATATAACACAGGACACCACAACTGCAAGACGCTGTCCCTACCCCAAGGACCCCTCCAGACGTACAGACACAGCCTGTAAGGAAGGCCTATGGGACTTCGGAACATGCAATCCACAGCGCAAGGCAGAGGAGAAGCAGCTTCACCTCTGACCCGAGAGGCTCCTCCAGGGTGAGTCAGCCACAGGGAAGGCGGGGCCACATCCCACACAGAGATGACCACCATGAAAGGCTTAGCAAACTAAGTGCCAGGGCATTGCTGGAATGTAATAGGAAATGCAAGGGGACTTCGTAAGCAAGCAGGTGCCCCATGATGAAAAGCTCCAATATGCAACAGGTAGGAAGGAATCCACCCTGCATATCACAGCAAACCACTGAAAGAGCTGAACACTGATCTCTCTAGAAAACTACTCTCTCACTAAAGCAAACTGGTATCTGATGGAAGACAGATCAGAAGGTCACACAGAGGAGCAGAGAGATGGTGAGGGGAGAAGAGTGGAACAGCCTAGTGGAAATTCAGCTCAACACACCAGAAGAAAATAATTCCCGCTGAAACTAAAGCAGCAGCCACTAAGTCAGAGGAAAGGGCAAATGTGAGACAACTGTCTCTGTTGAGCTTCCCTAAAAGTGCATGTTCCGAGAAAAGTCAAGATCTTTCAGCAAGATCTCAGAGGTCTTCTACCAACTCCCTTCCCTCCATAGCTAAGAACCACCAACCCAACCCGAGCAGTAAAACCTATAGACTTTGGTGGCTGATTAATTAATTATAGGACATGATATAAATGAAGCACGGTTCTTTCATAATTCCTAGTTTCTAACTTCATTTTATGAATGGAAGGAATCTCTAATAAAAACAAAACGATCCCCCCCGAAGCATAGAGAAAAGAGGGAGAAGAAAGCAGTGCTGACATTCTTAAGGGATGCAGGGGTGACACTGCAGCTCCACAGATAACGCAAAGGGAAGGGTGGGAAATACTGTCCTGAGGGACGGCAGAGGCTGCACAGGAGACAAGAGCCTTCCTTGGAAGGGTGCAACAAATTCTGCAAAGGAGTGAGCAGACCAGAAGGGTACCAACTCCCTGCTCCTTCCATCCGAGAAAGGCAGGAGGAACAAAAAAGACACACACAGAGTATTGCAGGGGAAGTGGCTCCCTCGGGCGAGCACTATTCCTGGTAAGAAGGTCCCACTACAAGAAGCACCAAGGCTTTGTGGAACCCAAGCCAGTATTAGGCGGTGAACACTGGAGAGAAGAAGGAGATTAGAGGTTGGACAGAGCCGCACTTCTGACCATAATTAAGTCAGACAGGCGAACTGGCTGATCTCATCATTCAGTCCATCTACAAAGTACCCAATGAGGCGGCATTCTGTTTACTCCCTAGAATGTAAAAGGGTTGAATTTCCTTAAATCATTCCCCTTAATTAAAATCTTTCACTTCTTATACACTTTCTTCCTCTGTGATGACTTCCTGTTTTAATTTTAAGGGAAAAATATCACCCGATTCTAATTAAAAAATCAGACCACATTCATATTAATAAATCTAAGAACGGTCTTAATATTTATACTGATGTCATATCCCACTATTAAGATAAGCAACTATGAATGGAAAGGGAAAGAACCGGTACCATGACAGAAATAAAATCAAGACAAAAAAAAGAACATTTCAAAGCAACTTAGAGTATGAGTCAACAAATTTCCTGAAAGTTTAAACACTGAAAAGAAAATATATAGTTGTCAGATTTGGTGGTGCAGACCTGTAATCTCAGAACTCCAGAGGCTGAGACAGGAGGATCGATGAGAGTTGAGAGAAGATTTAAGAGAGTGGACACAGCCTAGGCTATGTAGTGAGTTTAAGGTCAGCCTGAAATACAAAACAAGACCCTTTCTCAAAACACCAAAAAAGTTTTAAAAAATAAAAAGAAAGGATCCTCTTAAGGAAACAGAATTAAATTTAAGAGGGGATAGATTTGATGTCTCATACAGTGACACAGGCTATGACATCCATTCCTGATCCGGTATATAAACAAACAATGGGGGTGGAGCTGAGGATTGAGCCCAGGGCCTCACACATGCTAAACACAGACTCTGCCACTGTGCTACACCCCAGGGGAGGGGGCACTTTGTTTTTATAATAGGAATATTTGGGCCTCAGGAGTAGAGCACTTGTCTAGCATACATCAAAGTCCTGGGGTTCAGGCCCAGAACTGCCAAAAAACGTTTAAGTACACAGACACATTGTATCTCGCTTTTTTTTTTTTGGTATCGGGGATTGAACTCTGGACCTTGCGCTTGCGCAGCAGGCACCAGAACCACTGAGCTAAATCCCTGACCAGACACATTGCATCTCAATGAGAAATTCTAAGAAACTACAACAGTTTATTTTTGTTTACAAATTTGCAAAAAGTTACATATAACAAAACCATAAAAATAGTATGGACAACTTGGTTGCCATTAACTTTGAATCTTTTATGTATTATTTACAGCCAAGACAAACATGATTTTTATTTCTCAACTGTAGGAAAGATAGAAATAAAGCATCACTGAATGGCTTTACTACTTAAAATATAAATTGTGTCAAGATTAAAGGGCCAATAAAATAAAATTAATGACCAATTCAAAAGTCTTTTTCGATTCCATCATGAATAAAGAAAGCAGTGTCCTAGTGTGCAGAACACTGCCTAGCCTACAGACAGCAGGTGCTCAATAAATACTTGGCAACTTGAGGAGCTTTAAATTGCTGAAGATCTATGTGGAGGAAAATGTTTTAGAGACCTACAAAATGGTTAAATGAGAGCCACAAATGTCAAATGATCCTCAATTACACTTTTAAATGTGGGTGGACTACCTAGGAAGAAACAAAACTTTTTTAATTTAACAGTAATAAAATTTTCCCAAATTAAACGATTTCTAAAATAAAATTCTTATGGGCTGGGGATTTAGCTCAGTGGTTTCACCGCCTGCTGCACAAACGCAAGGACCCGAGTTCGATCCCCAGTACCAAAAAAAAAAAAATTATTTCAGAAATAATCTTTATTATTTACATGTTAATAAATGCATCTTTCTTTGGTTTGAATTTTAATGATTTCTATGCTATCTTATTGAGAAAACTTACCTTTTGTTCCATTTTTTTCTCCTAAAAAATCTTGAGTTGAGCCAGGTATTTAGCCTGCCTTCCAAGCGCAAGGTCCCGAGTTCAATCCCCGGTACCAAAAAAAACCCAAAAATCTTGAGTTATAATATATAGTAAAACTAATAGATCTTAAATGATAGCCTTTGTGTTGTCACAAGTAAATATACCCCTGTAGCTTCCAATATGTAAATACTTCCATTACCCCAGAAAGTAGCCCCGCCTGGGCAATTTAGTGAGACCGTGTCTCAAACTAAAATTTCTTTTTTTTTTTTTGCAAGACAGGCAGCAGAACCACTGAGCTAAATCCCTGGCCCTCAAACTAAAATTTAAAAAGGGTGGGTGAGGGCCAGGC